CATTGGCAGGACCGGCCCTAGTCCAGATCTGGCCCCCAGGCCGTAGGTTGCCGACCCCTGGCATAGTGGTTTGTGAGTTGGACTACAAATCTGGAGACCAGGGTTCAATTTCCAGCCAATTCTCAGCCATAAAACCTACTGAGTGACCCTGGGCAAGTCATACTCTCTCAGCCTCAGGGGAAGGCAGTGGCAAACCTTGTCTGAACTTGCCAAGAAAACCCCAAGATAGATTCACCATAGGGTTGCCATAAGTTGGAAAGGACTTGAAGGAACATGATGATGATGACGACGATGACGATGACAACAAAAACTTTGAAGGTCACTTTCTCATCCACACAGATGCTTTTCTTTTTTAAAACTGATTTAATAATATTAAAATACAAACAATTCTAAAAATCAACAACCTATAAATCTACTGGCATGACATTAATGCAGACAAATACAGACATGTAAACACAAAATAATTTGATTCTCTTTTCCTTTACCATCTATATAAAGTAACTTCCTAACTCCCTGAAATCAAATTAATTTATGCAATTTCTATGATTTTCTGTAATCCTTATTATTTCATCGTGTCTCTAACAAAAAAGTTTATAATAATATTTATATTGGTACTACTTTTAACATATAATCCCTTCATCTATATGCAATAACCTTATGATATAGCCAAAAGCATTCCCACTTTTTGTATTGTTCATCTGTTCGTAGTCTTATTCTTCATCATATTTCATGGTTTTCTTCTCTTATTTCCCCCCAAAACTCCTTGACACGTTTCCACTCTTATTTCCTTTTTTGGTTTTTCCTGGATAACCACAGAGAGGATGTCCATATCCATCGCTTCTCTTAAATTTAATATCCATTCATCAATTGATGGTATTTGATTTTTCTTCCAATATTTTGCATACAACAATCTTACTACTGTTACCGTGTACAGTACAATGCAACTATATTTTCTCCTCTTTGTTTTCTATATCATTGTCATATTCAAAAGGAAGAATTGAGGTGCAAATAGTATTTTTATTTGTAATATCCCTGTCATCGTGTTATGAACTTCTTTCCAATATTTTTCTGCTTCTTTACATTTCCACCAAATGTGAAGGAAATTTCCCTTGGGGTCATGACATTTCCAGTAGTTGGTTTTTCCCCTTTTCATACAGATGCTTTTCTATAGACTTCCCTGTATTGAACTATGCACTGGATATTTATGGTAAATCCTTGCTGTCCTTTCATCTCCCCAAAGGTTAATGCCTTTGTATAGACTTCTCAGATGTGTGATTTCAATTTATTACAATTTTCATTTAATAAAAAAAAAAATGCTTGTGAAGACCTGTCTGTGGTCTCTTACTTCCTCAGATTTGTGGCATTAGCTTGCTTTCACAAACCACAATGGTTTCAGTGCCAAAAGATCTGCCATGGGAGCTTCGTTTGCATGTATGGAAGGTGCCTAAAACCATATAATTACAGCAGATTTCATAACAACCTCTCTTTTTTACTGGGCTCAAAGTCAGGTAGGACAACTAGCTCTATGCTGATGCCAGATCTGTTGACTGGCCCAGTGTCAGCGGACTTAAACATGCCCTCGATGCCAGGAATGTATGGGCACTGGCACTTTTGGGCATGCTCTAGAATTGCCTTCGTCTTTGACAAAAGAACCCATCTATTCAGGATATTTAGATGGAATTCAACCAGGCAGATACAGCTTTTCTTTTGCAAAAACAAACCAAAAAGTCAGAATAAGTTTCAGTCTGAATCAGCAAGCAGATCCAGACTTCATTTTCTTTCCTGTAGCAATGGTGGCGTAGTGGTTGGACTACAACTCTGGAGACCAGGGTTTGACTCCCCGCTCAGCCATGAAACCCACTTGAGTGATCTTGGACAAGTGATACTCTCTCAGCCTCAGGGGGGAAGGCCAGAGCAAGCCTCCTCTGAACAAAACTTGCAAAGAAAACCCTGTGATTGGTTTACCTTAGGGTCACCATAAGTCAGAAATGACTTGAAGGCACAGAACAAAGCAAAGGAATAAACATTACACACCATCCCTGTTCTACTCACTGCTGGACAGCAGGATTTGATGGCTTGGCGATGGATCTTTTACATCCTAATTCTTGGAGGAATTCTACTATAGGCTTCAGCACTGTGGCCAGCTCCTTTATAATTCTTTAAAATTCAGATTAAAATTCAGACTAAAACCAGCCAGGGAAAAGACAGGGAATAAATTCAATAAATAAATAAATACAAACCCAGAGTGGATCCTCTAACCCAGTGACATGGTATAGCCATAGCAGTTATTTGAGGAGCCCCCAGAAACCTTGTTGAGACCAATTCTGATAGAATTTTGCAAATTCTATCCATTGCAACAGGGACTCCAGTTGTTTTAGAAATGTTGTTTCCAACTTATGGAGACCCTAAGACAAACCTATTACAGGTTTATCTTGGGAAGATTTCTTCAGAGGGGGTTTGCCTGCCTTCCTCTGAGGCTGAGAGAATGTGACTTGCCCAAGGTCACCAGTGGGTTTCCATAGCCAAATAGGAATTTAAACCCTGGTCTCCATTCATACTCCAACCCTCAAACTACTACTACACCATACTAACTCTTACTCAAGAGAGATTACTTGAGTGATTTTCTGATCATGTTTTTATTGGACATATTTGAGCCCTGGACTGCAATTCTGGGGTCCAGGGTTTGAATCCTTCCTGGCTCAGTCATGTAAACACACTGTATGATGTTGGGCAAGCCACACCCTCTCAGCCTCAGAGAATAGCAATTGCAAAACCTCTGAAGAAATGTGTCAAGAAAATGGCATGATAGGTTCTCACCTCAGTCACTATAAGCTGGAAACACCTTGAAGGCACACAACAACAGCAACAAAAACGTTTGATCTGCATATGGGATGGTTTCTCTTTGGGAAGTGAAGCCACCAAAATGAAGGTTCAGTCTTTGT